ACACCTAAAGATATTACCAATCAATTGGTAAATAATAAAATTAAATTTATGTTTCACTAAAATCTTGAAAAATTTCGACGCAAATTAAAATTAAGTTCTCAGATTTAGCAAATATTTGTGCCTAGGAAAAATATTATTAGTTCCATAATATTTCTAGAACCTTCTAGTCTGGCATTGAGACTAATGATTTTTGATCAAAACTAACACATTCGCAACTGATTCTGAGGAAGGTTTATTGCGTCGATGGTCGTTCTTTGGATCACTTTTTGAATTTTGTTATACAGAAGTTCTAGGTAAGCTTTAGAGAAAGTAATTATACTGGTTTAACTGGTTCCAAGGAGTTGTTTCAGAACTAGTACGCTTTTTATTAAATTATGTATAACTAATACCAAGAAACTAGTTCCTTAAACACTCTCGAGAAGTATTTTAGAATCACAACAATGTTACAAGGAACGGGTTTCAGAAGTAATGCCGACATCTTTAGAACTATGGTTGCTGTTTAAGTATCTGAATTGATTCAGTATTCACTCGTTCTAGAACATGTTTTGTACATTAAGAATATTAGTTCTTTTAAGTTTTTATTAAATTTAACAATACTTTATTAAGTGCAATTTCTTATAACACCTCGATTTAAAACCATTTACAATAATTTTTTATGTATTAATTATTGACCATTTTTTTTACCAAAATTCCGTATTTTCACTTTTGGCCTAAATATTATGGAGTCCATATTCTTATAAGGTTTAGATTAGTTAAGTATAAATTAAATAAAAAAATTAGGATTTTTAACCAATTGAAGCCGATTAAAAAAATAAGGTTAAAAATCCACCAATAACAATTTTATACAATAATTTTTTAAAAATAATCATAATTTAATAGATTTCGGTATTTTGTTTTGAACAGCAGCAAGTAATTTTCCAAATTCTTAACACTTTACAATAAAAACTCCTTTTATGTGATTTTAACAAAATTTTTTATTTAAATTTTTTGAAATATTTAAGAATAATATTTTTTTTAACACATTATTGCCATTATTTGTCAGGATACTGATGATGATTTATCTCTGCTGCACGTATTTTACACACATCACAATTCATTCTTGCAACACAATAATAGATTCGGTTTAAAAGCATACATGTTGCAATTAAGGATTCAACGGAAAAACGTAGTTTGTTGCACACTATATGTATTAAGTAGAACGTTTGTCACTTGATTAGAGTAAATAACCGACGGTTGTTAGTTTTTCTTTTGTTTTTTGCTGGAGCTTTATACTTTGTTTGATTAATGGCTACAACTAAAACCACTATAGTGTTTTTAAAAGGATATTATAGGAATTAGATTTTTAGTTTTGTTTTTATTTTAGAGAATTTGGCGTGATGAACGAACACAATTTGGCTGCTTGTTGACACAAAGAAATTACAAATGCTAATGTTTTAAGCGTTAAAAAAACAGTAACAACAACTAGACGAGGCAAACAATGAAGGCAATGATGATGATGGTGATGATCATCATTATAAAAAATTTCACTTTATACCAAAAACACTAGCAAAAAAAGACCACAAAAAAGTGTTTAAATTTTGAAATTGGAAAAAAAAAACAACAACAAGCAGCAGCTTAAGAAACAGCTATTTGCTGCTATAAGCATAATTTAAACAAAGCAAAAAATGCCACTAAAAATCGCCAGGATATTTCAAGGAATTCTTAATTGTGAAACAAGGTTTGTGTGAAAAAAACAACAAAATCTCAAATATTATTAATATGCTAAAGTAGAGCTACTGATAAGGGGGCTTAAGTAAGGGGGTGTTAACAAAACTATCTGTGCGAAAAAAAGGGGAAATGAAAACAAACACGTGCTCTAAAGGAATTTTATTAGTAAAAATCCGAAAATTATAACAGTTTTTACTCAAACTGTAAAAAAATGAAAAGGACATGCGCCGCGTAACACTAAACAAGAGCACACAAGTGTAAGTGTTATACCAAAACCCCTGTTTTACCTACAAAATACTAAGATGTGGGTGTTGATTACTCCGAAAACAGAAACCACCACTTTTGACCCATTCCTGTAAGCAATTCAAAACTGCTGCTGCCAACGTCTTGCTTGTGATGGCTAAAACGTCTAGAGCATGGAAGTTACTGTTTTCATTTACTCCTGTTTAGTTTAACGTTTCTTGTTCAACAACAACGTTAATTTTGTGGCAGAGAAGCGCAGGACATTATAACGCGTAACATTTTCACAAACTGAAAACAAGTGAATTCTAGTCTCTCTATACTTAAAAGTGTATGTGTGTGTATAAGTTTTTCTGTTTGTGTGTCTGTTTGTTAGAAAACAAAAAAGTTCGACAACTTTGGAAAACTCTGCTCGTATACATTGATGCCAGTAAGTTGTGAACTTAGAACAGGTAGAGACGCCGCGCGCTTTACACACATTTCCTCGAAAATTTTCACACACTCTCATCTTTATAGATAGAGTGGCCCAAAAGAAGCCAACAAAAAAAGGAAAATAAAAACACAGACCATAAATAGTTTTTTTTTTATATATTAAAGAAAAATATTCTTGTTGTTTTGGCCATAAAACAACATCAAGTGCAATAACAACAACTATAAAAGTATATAAAAATTTAGTTTTTCTTTTTCCGACAAAACACAACAAAATATTGAAAACATTTTTGGAAAAGTATTTGCTGAGCTCAAAATTGGAAATGATTTCTGTAACAGACTTGGATTTTTAAACTGGCTAACAGATGCACCAACCACTCTGCCACAGTCAGTTACAAACAATCCACGAACTTGGCAAATGCATTATAAAAAATCAAATTAAATTATAACGGATAAATTTGCAAAACGTAAAAGAAAGCAAACAAAAAAAAAAAAAAAACTAAAACATTAAAAACTTTTCTTTTATACAAAAGTCTAAAATAAAGTTTTGTAACTAAAGTTTTCAAGTGAAAAAAAGTAACAAAAAATTTTTGTGCAAAAATAGCAATAAAAGTGAAGTTAAACTAAATTTCAAGTTTACAACAAAAATATAACTACTTAGTTAATAAATTAATTTTTAACCCACTAATAACAACTATAACAAACAAAAGTCTAAGAAAGTTTGAAAAATTATAAAAAAAAACTTTTGCTAAAAGTTTTGCATTTTAAAGAAAAAAGTTTTCAGACGTGAAATCCAAACAGCAAAACAATAAAATTTTTAATAAAAATATACATATAAACAATGTTTAATATACAAAATATATTTATTAATAACTGTAAAGAACTAAATAGGTAATTAAATTTATTTATTAATTAACAAATTTATTTCTGTTATTTTGTTTGAAAATAGTTTAAAAACAAATGAACTTTTTAAAACTTAAAAAAATATAAAAAAAAAACTTAACAAAAATTCAATGCAACAAGAATTTTTCTACTAATTTATATTAAAAAAAATTTTATAATAAATATTTTATAATTTTTAATGTTTAATATTATTTGTTAAATTAACATTTTTTGAGTTTTGTTGAATTTTCTTTAGTGCCAGTAAAAGTAACTTGAGTTTTTGTGTTAATTATTCAGATTTTTGGAGAATTTTTTTAAAACAGTTTTGGTAATTTACTCCCTTAAATTATGTAGATCTTATCGAGATTTGAGGATGTGATTCCTCTTAACCAAACTCCATTACTTTTCGGCTAAAGAGGAAGTACTTTTTCACCTCATGAATCAAATATTACTAGATCAATTTTGAAACTAAATTGTATATTTTGGTTACTACAACTAAAATTCTTAACACTTTTTATTAATCTCCTTCAAATTTCTGTTGTAACAATTAATTATATTAATTTTAGATGAAGACAAATATCTAATAAACGATTCTAGTTTTTTGCTTTGAAAAGAAGTTTAGTTGTGATTACATAATTTGTTGATAGAAACATAATTCGTTTAGCCAAACCAAATAAATTCACTGAAGTTAACTCTCACTTTAGTTCTTCCAACTAAATTACCCTTGTCTGCAGGATTTAGTTTACAACCAAACAAAATTATATGAAAATATTAATTGTTCCAAACAAAATATTGTTTGTTCAACTATTTTTTGTTCTCTCTTAAATGAAATTCATACACAACAAAGTCATTACTATTACTTTATTATTTAACAACAAAAGCTTAAGCTTTCTCAAAAAAGTTTGTTTGATGTTACAAGAATTTGGTAAGAGTAAAGAGTACAGAGTTTGAGACAAATCCAGAAGATTTATTGGTTAAAAATTAACTAAAAGATCATCGAAATGAAATCAATCTGTTACAGAGACTTTCAATAATGTTGAACGTTGGAATAAGTAGATCATTTCTCTAGAGCTTTCTTTCTAATATAGAATTATATAGATATTTGAGATAGGCAAATCTGAATAATATTAAGTTTACCTACAAGGGGTGCAATTTTAGAAAAATTTTATTGTCAGTTATTGGGAGTTTGATTTAAAAAGAACTATGCTTCAGAATCTTGGCCTTAACAAAGAGCTTTTTCATTAATTAAAATGGAGGTGGCATGTACCCATTGTACAGATATTACTCATATCTCGTCATAAAAATGCTGTTCTCTGATAAGAAAAACCTTCTTATTAGATTGATGAGTCCTAATTAGAAATAGTTTTATTATAATTTTTATCGTATTAGTTTCCATAGATTTTAAAAAATTTTAATTTCTTACAATTTATAAAAATATTTAAATTCTTCTGTATATATTTTTTTATTTTAAATATTTAATTTTCATTAAGCAAATAACAAAAAAAAAAAAAAACCAAACACTTTACTTTATATATAAAAAATTCTCTTCTTTTACTCCTTCACTCTAAACCATTCATTCCTCAATCAACACACTTGCAAACAATTACCAAAAATTAGAAATTAAACCAAAAATTTACAAGAAAATCCCAAAAAATCTAAAGAAAATCATTATAAACATCAACAAATACAATTTCCCTCATCATTCATTCATATACATATAAACAACACATACCGACCGATAACCAACCCCATTCCAAAAAAAAGAAATAAATAACAAACAGAGTCACAAAAAAATGGCATTACTAAAACGACCCTTAACCAAGGAAACGGCGACAATTGTTGAAAATAACAACAACAACAATAATAAAGTTGACACAGAATATGAAACAGCTGTTAAACGTAAAAAACGTTGCTCACGTGATGATGACGCCAACAACAATAATACAACAACTAATGTCAGTATTAAACAGGAAGATAAATTATCCTTGCCACAGAAGAAACGTAACATAAACTCTAATACAGAATTTGCCAAATCGAACAGTAATGAAGATCAAGATGATGAGACCTTGATTAGAGAAACACAGGCGGCATTGAAAAGTTTATCGGGTTCTTGGCCAGAGGCACGCAATAATCCATATCGTTTAACGGAACAAGATGAAAATCCACCACAATTTCAAAATCTTTTTGAGGAAAAACAAAAGTATGAAAACTTTTCTAAATATAGCACTGATGAAACGTCTGCTTATAGTTCACTTGATCTTTTACGTTTTCACAGACAAAAGGAAAATGATCAGGCTCGTTTGAATACGCAGGAAGAGAAGAAGAGTGCCTTTTCTCAGTCATCAGCCTTTAAGCCTCCTTTGGATATAAAACGTAATGGTGTTATTGGTTATAATTCGCACTATCCAACCTCATATGCTACAGCAGAATCTACCAGCGGTTATTTAAATTATCCTCCTCCACCTCTACCACCTCCACCTTCCTCTACTACACACAATACTCTCTCACATACCACCGCTTCCCTATTGGCCTCACGTTCTCCCTATGAGGATAAAAGTACTTTAGAATCTTTAAAAACGGAAAACGATACTACTACTACTACTAGTCATAAGGGCCTTGAAGATGATAAACACTATACCACCCTACAGCCAGCTGGTGTGGGTAGTCGTGCTGCTTCCGTTATGCAAGATATAAATCGTGATACGTCTGTATCTTTAAGCGTAACATCGGCGGAGTCACAAGTGTCCTCGACTGCTAATATAATACCTCAGCCTACTTATTCGCCGAGCAGTTTAAATCGTGGTAAGTGGTGTTTCTTTAAAAAAACTATTTTTCGTTTTAAGTTTATTTTAGTTTTCTTTTGATTTCGAAAGACAATGATTTATATAGAAAATACTGAATTGGCGTAAACTTGTGCTTAACTTTTCTTGTTGCATTGAGTTTACAATGATGTTGTTTATAGAATATATATTTGTTTGAATTTCTATAGGTTAGGTAGGGCTTTATATATCTTTATATAGTTTTCTTTTTTATCTGCAGATTTTGAAAGGGCTGAACCTTGGCGAAGTCGGTCATTAAGTCTGTAGGTGACCAGCTGTCACCATAAGAATGTTGAAATTTTTTGTAAAAATAACGACTTTTTACTAAAAGCTCATTCTTAAAATTAATAGATTTTTGTTTTAATCAGAATCCAAACTCATTTCTTGTGCAGAACTTATTAATTTTCATTCTGTATGGTCTATCTTTAATTATTATTGATATAGAAAGCTTATTTCAAAAAGCTTTTAAGATTTTAGCCTAAAATGTTAAATGTTATGTTGTTTTAAACTGTCATATTTAAAAGCTTTTGCTGACTTTATTCAAATGTTTTCTCTTATACATTTTTTTCAAAGATCAAAATCCTATTCATGTGAATATTCCTTCTCTGTGGAGAGTTAATTCTCATTGATATAGAAAATTTATTTCAGAAAGCTTTAACGTGATAAGTTGCTTAAAACCTACATCCGCAAAGAGTAAAAAATAAGATCTCTTACTGGTTTTTATCGTTTTTTATACATGTGTAAGCATACATGCGTATGAAATTAAGAGTGCAAGAAAGCTCCTAACAAAGCTCTTTGCCGATCAGGGGCTTAAAATGACGATCTGTTCTCTTTAACTGACATATTGAAAAGCTTTTTCTACAAGTCGTGAAGGCTTAAAGAGGTGAATTATTTTACTTCTCTGTAGAAAGTTGATTATCATATAGAAAGCTTATTTCAGAAAACTTTTAGTTTAAGATCTGATCGTGAAAGCTTTTTATACTCAAATCAAATATCGAAATCCAATTCATTTAAAAAGCTGATTAATGTTCCTTCTCCGTGAAAAGTTGGTTCTCATTGATATAGAAAGTTTATATCAGAAAGCTTTAAGGTTATAAGTTCCCTAAGATGAATGATCTATATTTAAGCTTCATGATCACATTTTAGATGTTCTCTGATATAAATTTTTACGAACATGTGTTGAATTTTATCTGAAGATCAAGAAGTGTGGATCTTGAATAGATTGTAGACGGACTCAATTTAAGATTAAAAACCAAATTCGATATTTTTACCAAAACCATATACTCAATCCAACCTAACACCCTTTAAATATAATTAATATTCAAGAATATTCTTCCTCCGAAGCTTTATCCTTCTTGCCTTAATAATAATAATGCCAAAACAATAAGCTGTAATATCTAAACAATTTCTCCTTTAACCTCAACAACAACACCTGTAACAAGACAGCTCAGACCTCTTTATATAACATCCAAATATTGTAATATGTGTATAAGTTGTCTAAAAAAAAGTGATGTTAAACCTATTTACACACGCATTGTAATTATATAAGTATTTGTTATTATTTGCACATTTTGCCAAGCACTTAAAAATACTTTCTATTCTATTGTAGTCATTATAATTGTCTAGTAAAAAGCATCAAGAACAAGACAACAACAACAAAAATAGAAAAACTAAATTCTAAAGACAGTTAGAGGTAAAAAGGCATGATTCTTAAATACTTTTGAAGCGGTAGAAGTAAAAAAGCTTTTAATATTTTCTTTACCACCAGCTCCCCTACCAGTCAAGCGTATCTAAGACAAGTTAACATACCACACACATACATATGAATACTTAAAGTCTTCAATAGTTACCGGCAGTTTTTTTAGGAAACTAACTTTCTGATTGATTTGAGTATGTTTAAATCTTTATTCAGTATTCACTAGCCACTTTATTAACCACAAGTAATCTAGCAGAAAGACAATCGTGAGCTATAAAACACGCTCTCTGTAATCTGTAGGAGATTGTCATTTCCATTTTATGAGTAAACTAAAGGATGATTATTGATATCCAGTAAATGGGCCAACCTCTGGTACTGTTACTTTGAACTGCAGGGTCCTTATGAGATTGTAGTTAGAATAATAATAATTTAGGCATTGAGTCTTTTTAACTATCTTGTGTTTGTTGTAGTAATAATAACAATTTTGTCACACTAATTTCCGTGCATTAGATACATTTATAACCCCTTAAAAGAAAATATTATTAAACTACAATTTAAATACTTTTACTTATGTTCATACATACACATATAAAAAATTTGCTCTTTTTCTTTTCTAAAAACCTAAGGAAAAGCTACTTTAACTAGAAAATTTTAACATACAAAAGAACATTACACATATACTGACAGACAAAACCTTAGAATTTTATTTTAACAACCACTTACGCATATTTATTTTGTCATTATGGCAGCTTTATAACAATAATGTTAGAAACAACAATAATAATAATAATAACAACAATGATGCAGATAAAATATTTTCATTAGTTTGTATGTATATACATATGTATGTGTAGATATGGTATTTAGGAAACCAAAAAATTTGAATGACTTTTTAAATAGTTTCTTTATCAGCAACAACAACAATGCCAACTAATAACTCATTAAATTTTGCTTTTAGCTTTAAGCTAATTTTGCTTATTAAGCTTAGGCAGTGAAAAGCATTAGAAATATCAAATCAATTATGTCAGGGAAGGGTTATAACTTTTATAGTGACAAGGGTATGGTATTTTTTTCTAATGTGTATATATTATTAAATATTCTTTTGTTAGTTTGAAGAAGATAGCGGAACCAATTAATATATCGGAAATATGTTCTAGAACTCGGCTATATAACATCGTTTAAAACGATTTATTATATAATATAGATAGGGTATTACAACAGCCTCAATCTTACAACACATGGAAACATAGGTCGTAGAAATGAAAACATTTATAATCAGTGTCCAAGACAGACTGATGTGTATGGCTATTCGTCAGTCTGTTTAATTTTGACAATAAAGGGCCCAAAGGTAGAGCCCTAGATGATTGTAATCGATTGATTAGAAAATCAAGCGCAGAAAATCTTGGACGAAGTGTACAATCTATTTTGAAGTACGTTGATACTTGAATCTTATAAAAGATTATATTTTTAAAAGGGTCCTCAGTTCCCCACCATCGATTGAAAATCATAATCTCGGAAAAAAAATAAATTTCGAGAAGAGGAGGATGCAGACAGTCCCTTGGGATGCAGACTTTGTTATGCCGCATTGGTCTCATACCTCTCTTTGGTCCCGACGTGGCCTTCTTTGATGAAGATGGCTGGACGTAAAGATTCTCCGAGACGGTGTTCGGTCCAGTGCTGGCATGGGGCACATGCTTAGATGTGATCACATGCCTGCTCTGGTTTGATTCCGTCTTAGTCGTGGCTGGCCTGACCTCCACAACAGTAGTATTTAGCATGGCTTCATACTTCTGTATGTGTGCGTTTTCCTCCGCGTTTTGCGGCTCAAAGGACACTATGCGCACATCCTCCTTATCAATCTCATAAAGGTTTATATCTTTCAGACCTGAGAGGTTGTCGTCACTGTCGTCCAAGGTTACTCTGTCCTGTCTGGTTACTCAGTACTCACGTTACCCTTGGAGATTTTAGCACCCTCGACCAAGAACATAGGGCCTTCTTTATTTCCTGACATTTCATGGGGGGTTTGGTAGGTTATGCCTCTACTATAGGTATGAAAAAGACACTGCTGCTCCTCTGGAGTCAGACGCAGACCAGGATGCCGCTCAATATGAGTCAGACGCACCCTGTATTTTGACCAAAAACATTCGGACCGTCAGAGCCAGATTGTACCTTCCAGCCGCCCTTAACATAAGGAACAGACGCTAGAGAGGTACGGTTATGTTGCCTAGATAAACCACAGTCCCGGGCCGACATCTAAAAGAAGGGGGAATTTGGTAGCCGCCCTATCTAAGGGAACTGATGCTACCAAATTGAGGTCATGATCGCTAGGCGACCGAAGATGATCACTTACCCCACAGCCGCTCTTAACATAAAGGAAAGACGCTGTGGGGTATGGGGAGTTCTAAGTACACATCCTTAGGATGTTTAAGCCTCTGTACCGTGCCAAAAGATTCAAGGTGACTACCTGCAGCAGAGGGTTGGGTTAAAATTCAAGTATTTTTATACCCACCATCAAAAAAGATCGGGGGTATATTGTTTTTGTCATTTCGTTTGTAATACATCGAAATATTGATGTAAGACCCAGAAAAGTATATATATTTCTGGTCCTCATTAGATTCTAAAACTATCTAGCCATGTCCGTCCATCTGTCTGTCTGTCCGTCTGTTGAAAACACGATAGAGTCCAAATGGAAGTAGCTAGCTAGCTGAAATTTTGCATAGATATTTTATTTTAATGCGATTTGTTTGGTATTGAAAATGGACAATATCGGTCCAAGATTTCACCTAGTCCCCTTATAAAGTCCCCTCAAAGATTTATAAGTACAAAAACATTTTACTATTGTCAGTATCTGAGTAGTGTTAAGTGAGCCAGAGAAAGTTTGTATCAAAACCTGTTCCTCATTTAGTATAATATTTTTACCCCCACTCTTTTCAATTATACCTAACCTTGTCTATATGTTTTTGTCTTAAAATGATTGACATCATATAAAATTATTTTGTGATTAAATTTTTTTTTTATAGAAATTAGAAAAACCCCTATTCAAATACAATTTACCTCAAGAGTATTTGATAGAAAAGACATTAAAATTATGTAAATATGTAAAGCATATACGTCTTCATAACCTTAAACCCCTTTAATAAAATATAAAAAACAGCAAGCAGTAGTAGCTACTTTAATGAATGTATGAGTAACTAATTTTTTGGTTTTAATTAAATTCAATTTAGAAAGATAAGTTTTTCTAACATGTGACAAGCATACATATACTCATCTACCTTTAACTCTCAAACTTCCTCATATGACAACCTTCTTAGTTTTTGCAGTAAGTCTAACAAAAATTGTTTTCTAAAAAATTTTTCATACATAAAAAACCCCCTTTTTTTACCCTGTTAGACAAACACTCTTTTAGATAATGTTAAATATTATTAGAATTTTATAATAAGGTTGTGGCAACATTAGATACAGTTCTTTCTTTTTTTCCCGTAATTTTTTTAAGCATTTTGTTTTTGTCAGGCAAACAGCAGACAGTTTTTTTATTCCTGGAACATAAGAATTTTTAAAGGATATGTTTATACGTGTGTGTGTATTAAGGACATGTGTTTGTGTTGCTTGTTTTCATGTGTCATGTGAAAGAGTAAATAATTCAAAAACTGTTTTCCATCAAATTTTAATTAATTATTTAGCATGAACATAGAAAAATATTTAGTATTAAAAAAAGTAAACTTTTCAAAAAATTTACTTGTCTTGGAGTGAAAAAATGGAGTGTGTTTTTTATCTTCTTGATATTCTTTTAATTAATTAGAAAATATTTGATTTTGAAAATGTCTACACTGCGAGAGGCAGGAGGTTTTGCTAAGGAGTAAACTTAAGATGTATCAAAATAGTTTTTCATGCAAAATTACTAAAATTTTACAAGAATTACTTGTGCAATACAGATATTTATTATATTATATTTGGAATTGTTTCCTATGAGTCTTCTGTTGGAAAGGGCAGAGAAAAAATATGGCTGGAACTGTTGCAGCAATAATTTTGATATTCAACAATAATTAGGGTATCTAAGGAATAGCTTTAGACCCGTTGGTATTAGGTTTTTTTTCACTTGATTCTTAAATATTTACAAAATCTTGTCTTTTGCTCTTCATCAATTATAAACTTTACTTTTAGATGGTAACAAATGTCCCACTCCAAATTGTAATGGTCAGGGTCATATAACGGGATTATATTCACATCATAGAAGGTACTAATACCACTAACAATTCTTTCTAAAGACCGAAATTTCTAAAACCAAACATTTTTCCCCCTTTAAAAACAATTTTTTCTTACAGTATATCAGGTTGTCCCAAACGTGATAAAGTCACTACGGAATGTAAGTCAAAATTTAACATAAATCTGTAAACTAGAAGCATGTTTGTAAAACTGAAACTTTCAAAATCTTTCAAAACTCTTTCTCTCACTCACTCACAATTTCCGTATTTGTAACTTTATAAGTATTAGTATCTTCTATGTATATATATATGTGTGTGTGTGTAAAAAAATCTAATGCATGATTATCATGTCTCTGGAAACTACCTAATACTACTACCACTTACTATTTCTTATAAATTTATTTCAACCCTTTTGTACTAGTAAAATGTATAAACTAACCATGATTTTCTTAAACTACTTCAGCTCGTACTACTTAGTAGTTACTAAATTTTGCTAAAGATTTCCTCTAACTCCTTTTGGTATTGTCTGTCTTCTATTGTGCGTCTGTTGTAGTTGTAATTGATTAATTAATTCGAAATTATTGCAACATTTTTTGCCTTTTTCTCTCTACAATTGTTTATTTTGGCTCATCTACTCTATTCCCCAGTATTGGCTTTACATGAGCAAATTATAAAGTGTCCCACACCGGGTTGTAATGGTCGTGGCCATGTGCAGCCTCATCGTAGTGTTCATCGCAGTTTGTCTGGTTGCCCTAAAGCCGTTAAAGGGGCGACGCTTAAGAAACAATTGAAATATCAATATAGTTCAGAGGATGAGTGTAGTCGTACTGATTTCAAATTGCAAAAAGGTTTGTGCTGTTAATTTTAAATTGTTAGAGGCAAACTTAGTAATTGTCTGAATTTACAAATTTTCAATATTTAATAAATTTTTAAAAGGGTGTAGAAAATAAACTTAATTTTGTTTTGTCTTACACGCCCTTATTGGTTGCAATTTGAACAATATACATAAATATCTAACTTAAAGAAATATTTATTAACTTTTTTTTTTAAATTTTGTTTCTTTGTCTAGATTCTAAAGATTTACATCATATGGATAAATATAAACTCTCCTCCAATCAATATTTGAACAACAACAATAGCAATTGTATTACCAATAACAATAGCCATAAGTTGAATTCCAGTCCTTCGCACAACAACAACAACAACAATAACAGCAGCAGTAGCAACAGCATAAGCAGCAATAACAATATGCCCATTATTAAATCGGAATTTAGTCCAGTAGCAAATATTAAATCGGAATACAATAAAAGTCCAATGCATTCATATCTAGCAAACGAGACAAATGCCGCTGGTCGTGCCAATTCCTCTACGACAGGTTCAGCCAACAATAACCAAAGTCTGTCGGCTGGCAACTCCACAGCCGGAACACTCCAACAACAACAACAGCAGCAACAACAACAGCAACAGTCTTCACACAACGACATGAATCGTTTTGTGGGCATGCAAACTCACGGCATTAATGATCAACAAAGTCCACACAATGGTCAGCAACAAACTTTGCATCAGCAACGAGGACCATTCATTGAGGGCTCTTCCGGTCTCATGATGTCTACGGGCAATCCAACATCCGCTGGTACTGATGGCAATGAAAGTTATCACAATGACCATCATGCACAGCAAAGTAATGTTCAAGCAGACCAGCAACAACAACAATACGAACACATGCAACGTTATGGCCATCATGTTACAAATGGTGAGTCGTTGAGTAAACCACCGTCGGCTTATGGAGCCAGTGATATGTTATCGTCCAGCAATGGCAATTCGGGCAATATTTCTCCTCACACCCGTAGCTATGATCCCAATCCTCCTACTTCAATATCCTCCAGTGTTTCCTCTTCATACGTAGACTCCTCTACCGCTTCTAGTGGTTTGACTACAGCCTTTGAACGTTACGATCCCAATTGTAATGGTCAAAGACCCTCGAACATGTATCCATATTTATCGCAATCGGCGGATGATTTACAAGCCCAACAACAGAAATATTTGCAAGATCAACAGCTGCTAATGGCCAAAGTAGAGCATGATGAAATGGCCAATGGTGGTCCCATATATCCCAGGCCTATGTATCATTATGATCCTAGCATGGGACCTTTACCACCCGGTTTCTCGGCTATTAATTTGTCGGTGAAAATGGCAGCAGCCCAAGCAGCGGCCGCCGCAGCAGCATATCAAAATCAACAGCAACAAAGTCAGCAGCCCTCACAAGCCCCCGGCCAGCAGACGTCGCAGCAACAACAACAACAGCAGCAGCAACAACCCAAACAAAGTGGTTCACCCTCACCGACCGCTGCCCCCGTTGTTGATCTCTCCGGCTCTACTTCGGTCACCTCCTCCAGTCCGCAAGGTTTCAACTCACCAGCTTCTCACAACCAGTACAATCAACGGATTGGTGCTGGTAGCCCACAGCCGGGTGCCAGTCCCAATGTAGCCAGCCCCCAAGTGCCAAGTCCCCAGGGTCAAACTTTGGATCTGACAGTGACCAGACTGCCACACAGTATTATCACCAGTCCCCAGTATGGTGCTCATCCCGATGGTGTAGTGATTGGTGCTCATCCCCAAGGATTTGGACCAGGATTGCCGACATCGGCAGCAAATGGTACGGCTAGATCTCCTCCAATGGAACCTGTTGATTTTAGTGGTCCTCCTCGTCCTTTAGGCTTTGGTCTCGTTGGTCATTTAGGTGGTCCCCGGCCGTATAGTCGTGAATCAACCCCGGACAGTGGTGGCTCGCATTACATTGACAGCTATAGAGATCCCAGTGGTAAGTTGTTAAATTTCTATAAAAATTTCCTAATTTGTTGAATGCTAAAAGCTTGTTTGTGCTTAAACTTTACTTATTTATTTTTCTTGGGTAATTTTGCCGACTACATTCCAGGCTATTCCCCGCATCCCGGCTATGGTATGGTTGTACAGTCTGATTATCCCCCAGCTGGTTATCATGGTTATGGAGCAGCTGCCGCCTATCAATGTAGTAATCCTTATGCCACTGCTGTTGGTCCCGGTGGATATCCGACACCCGTTTCAGGTGGTTATTCGACCAGTCCAGCTTCCTGTTACTCCATGCCACCACCGCAGCATATACCACAACATGACAAGACAAAGGATAGGTTAGTTGAATGGCAAGTTTCCCAACTAATAGTAAATAATATAAATATTAAACTCTATATACTTAAGCATACCTACAACTAAACAGTTAAATAAGGACAATAACAGCATGTCCTGGTAACAATTTTAAATTTAAGTTTTTTGTTTTTTTGTTAGTTTCATATAGATAAAGTAGTGTTGAGGCAGACGTAAAGAAACTTTATTAAACCATAAAATTGGAATACAACAAGGAGGAGTAGTTGTAACAAAATTATATATCATTATTAAGATAATGAATGAGGGCGTTAATGGGGTTCGGTGGTATACTTGTATGTTTTATCAGGAGTTTAGTAAAATATGCAACAATAACACTTATCATCATCTCTGCCTGTAGTGACGAACACTGATATGGTCAGTGTTTGGTCTGTGTGTGTGTAAATTATTATAAAGGATCTTTGCTTGTATGTGTACTTTATATTTTAATATTTATTAAGTTAAGAGACTATATGCTGCAGCAGGACAGTCATAAAATTTGTAGTCCTTTGCGAATAAAGGTTAATCTAAACTCCATAAAACCAGACCTTTTCTATACACATACCAGCAAACATACATATATACGTTTATATTTAAATATAACTTTGCAGCTGTAAAAACTAATTTGTGTGTTAAAAACTAAAAGAAATTATTCTTGTGTTCCAAAAAAACACCCCTTATCATTTGCTTAGCTTTAACTTAAAAACTAAAACTTTAAAATAAAGTAAAATTTTCATTTGTTTTATTCCTTAGAATAGTTTAATTTTTGTTTAAAATCATTGAAGCAGTTAAAACAATGAATGAATGGACATTTGTAAAAAATGTTTTATAAGTAGTTGAAAAAAACTATTTGAAATTCAATTTAGAACTTTAAGTAGTGATTGATTTTAGGGATTAGCTAGTTAATTCAACAAAGAGTTATGCTGTCTACTTTTGTTTGTTGCAATTAAAGATAAAAAATTAATTTAGAGTTTTTTTCTTGGAATTTTCTTTGTTTTTTTTTTGTAAAACAGTTTAACTGGTTGCCCACGCACCGATCGTAATCATTTGCAACCTCATTCACAAGAACTGAAATGTCCCACCCCTGGTTGTGATGGTTCGGGTCATGTTACTGGTAATTATTCATCACATCGTAGCCTATCGGGTTGTCCTCGTGCCAATAAACCAAAAAGTAAACCCCGGGATGGTCAGGATTCCGAACCATTGAGGTAAGTTAAGAGGGAAATGGAGGGTTTAGAGTCTAGAAACTTTAGTCTATTGGGATTAAGAATATTATTAAGATCTTCTCTCTGTAGATACACATTAATTTTGTAGAATTATAAAATGATCTCTCATAATCTCTCATGTTTGGGTTTGTAAGTTACTTGAGAGTGACTTCTCCGACACTGTGTTCTAATATGAATGATATTTGAAACTATACAGTACTAAAGATACTCTCCATGAACGTAGTTTCATGCTTTAAAAATATAAGCACATCCATTGCAATATCAAATGAATCAAATTCCCCTTTAAATCTTCAACTGTCCCCACTTTTCTAACTTTAAGGGGTTTATTATCATTAGAGAAACAGCTTTTTTTATAACTATCAATCTTTTAGATGCCCCATACCAGGCTGTGATGGTTCTGGACATTCTACCGGTAAATTTTTATCACATCGAAGGTAAGTCAAAAGTTTTTTTTTGCTTCTTTTTTTCTTCTTCAAGATAAACTTTTCCTCATTTTAACAAGATATTTTGTCAAAATATTTCGCAGCAATTTAAGGAACTGTGTTTTTTTCTTATTATTCCAATTCTAGTGCTTCTGGTTGCCCCATTGCCAATCGTAATAAGATGCGTGTTCTAGAAGCCGGCGGTACTGTGGAACAGCATAAAGCCGCTGTAGCAGCAGCGACTGCTATGAAATTTGATGGTGAGTAGATTTATATTAACTTTTTCTGTTTAAATCTTAAGAATTTAAAACTTTGGTAGTTGAAGTATGAAAGTAAATACCCAGCAAAAACTTGATAATTTTGAGTACTTATACAACTACTTTTCAATGACTACTACTTACCGTATTTTGATTAAGCCAGTTATTTGTGCGTGAAACAAAAAAACTTTTGAACTACTTATTTGTAAGTACTTATTAAAGTAGTTATTTGTAAGCGAGCATGACAAGTAATTGCCACCAATGTTATTACCGTGTTAAAAAATTTGTTAAAATATTAATGAAGAAGTAATGAAAAACAGGCTTTTTTTGTTGTATAACTCATTAGTTTTCAATGTAAGTTTTTGCTGGGTATGTATAGAAGAAGTTGCCTAGTGGCTTTATAACGTTCTTCTGCTATGAAATTTGATGGTGAGTGGATTTATATTAACTTCTTCTGTATAAATCTTAAGAATTTAAAACTTTGGTAGTTTAAGTATGAAAGTATATACCCAGAAAAAACTTGATAATGTTGTGTACTTATACAACTACTTACTTTTCTATGACTACTATTTACCGTATTTTGATTAAGCCATTTATTTGTGCGTGAAACAAAAAAACTTTTGAACTACTTATTTGTAAGTACTTATTTAAGTAGTTATTTGTAAGCGAGCATGGCAAGCAATTGCCAAAACAATGTTATTACCATGTTAAAAAATTTGTTAAAATTTCAATGAAGAAGTATTGAAAAACAGGCTTTTTTGTTGTGTAACCCATTACTTTTCAATGTAAGTTTTTGCTGGGTATGCATTATTATAACTTTCTTTACAATCAGATTTTAACGATTTTATGATGTTCATTTATTAGTTTAAACTAACTTAAATGCTAAATACTATAAATACTATATCAATTTTCTCAACAGGCTGTGGTTCTGCTTCCCAGGCTATTAAAAAACCCAAATTCGATGAGGTTACCATGGTGTATCCCAAAGGCTATACAGGTAAGCCCAAAACCCGGCAATTATTATAAAAAACCTTTTTTTTAGAAAATAACATTATTTCACCATAATTTCCAAGTAGTTCGTTATTAAATATTTTGAAGTAGTTAAATAATCAAAAAAAAAACTTTTAAGTTGTGTGCGTGTGCTAACAAATTTTTTTTTCTTAAATTAAACATTTTGTTTTCATTTAAATCAATTTATTTAATATTTTAGTTACTAACACCTTTTAAAAAAAAACACTAACTTAAAACAAAAACTCACCAACTAAAACACTTTTAAACCTAAAAAACTAGTTTCATAAACAAAACCCCCTCAAAACAAAAAAGAAGAAATTTTATTAATTTTTTAATCTTATTTTCTTTTCATTTCATGATGCGTTGTTTTTCGGTTTTAGATTATGCGACATTTTGTATCGGCGCTGAATATCTACTGTAAAAATAGTAAAACCTATAAAATCTAAATCAAATATTTCTGTAAATAATTTCCAACTAAAGAAATACCAAACGACGTTTCTAATAACACTCACACCACAAGAGAAAAATAAAAAAATTTAAACAAAATTATTTAAACAAAGACAAAGTTTAAACAAAACGCCTAAAAGTGCCTAAAGGTTTTGAAACAAAAAAACAATTGAGTTGTCTAAGGTAAGAAAGTTTACAAACTTAAACTTAGATTTTTGTTGATTTTTTTTCTTAACACTGGTCTTAAACAAAACAAAAATTTCTTAGCACACGCTCACGAAATTTTAAGCAATATATTAAAACAAAAAATTTAAAAAATTAATATTTTTTTCTAATATTTCAAGGCATGGAAATGATGATGAATAGTGTGGGCTCTACTTCATCCTTGAACAATCCCTTGGTAGGTCCTTCTTCCTCGGCCAGCATTACCACCAGCACCACGGGCGTTTTACCCGATAGTTTGCAGTCAGCCTCAACATCATCTTCCTCCTCTTCCAATGTTAATGGCGACATTAATTCTGTAACACGTCATGATGCCGAAAATGATATCAATAGTTTGGAGGCTGAAATAACCGAACTGCAGCGTGAAAATGCCCGGGTAGAGTCTCAAATGATGCGTTTGAAATCGGATATAAATGCCATGGAAACACAATTGAACACCAGCGATAGGGTACGTAGGCTCAGGTTCGTTGAGGCAAACAAAACTTTAAAACCAAAAATCTCACCTAAGTATTTTGTAGTTGTTAAAAGAAAAAAAAAAACTTTCTTTAGTTGATTTTTTTTTGAATCAGTTGTAGTCGTCTATTAATTTTCTTATATTTTCTTTCACTTCCGGTTTCAGTTGGTTTTTTTTTTTGGTATTTTTATAACATTTCCTGTTTGGTTTTAATAATGATGATGATGATTTTGCTTAACAAGTTTGTAAAAAAAGCAAAAAGTTTGTTAAAAAAAAATACAAATTAAAAGAAAATTTTAGTCTAAAACTTTCTTTTTAAATTAGTTTTCAAGGACGTCTCAAAAGTCTTGATTTGGTTTTTTTTCTTTATTCTTCACTTTTTGCTAAGCAAAAAAAGCTAAGAACTGAAAACATTCATGAATTTTTGCAGCCATAATAAATGAAATACAGTTGAAAAAAGTTGGAGTTTTCTAACAATAAAACAAACTTTGTTTTAACGCGCCGCCGTAAAGTTTTTTCTTTCTGTTGTTGTGTTCTTTTTTTTTTGTAAATTTTCCTTTTACTGTGCCAAACTCGCTTGCTAAACTCTAACAAAACCCAAACATAAAAGTTCTAATTTCTCAAACAAACCTCTCCCCCCCCTGCTGCTGCCTGTTGTCTCTAAAACTTGTCTACCACCAGTATAAACTTTGTGTTATTTAAATTATTATTAACTTGGTTTTAAACAGAAAAAAAGTATAAAAGTCACCCCTCTAGTGTTTCATGTTTTTATCAAAGTTTATCAATTAATTTTTATAGAAAAGTAACAACTTTTTTTTTGCACAGTTTCTTTTCCTGCTACTTTTATTTTCTGTGCAAATATCATGTCGTTGACTTTTTTTTTAGTTTAATTTTCCAGTCAAAATATGTTATGAAATGAACTTTCTCACACGATTTTAGGCTAAAGTTTTTATTTTAATATTTTTTCTAAACAAAACAAAAAAATGGTGGTTAACAAATTTTTAACTGTTTAACAGATAAAGTTTTCTTAAAGGGCCTAAAAGTAAAACAAAGTTTTTAGACAGTAATGTTTCTTGCATAGGGAGGGAACCAGTTGCGGAAATGTTTTTGTTTGTTTTAAAAGAAATTGTGTCAAATTGAAATCACCATTTTGCCATATAAACAAACTTATTGGTTAATAAATTAGGTTGTTTTAAAATTGTTTTAATTGAAAGAAAATAATTGTTTTTTTTATTTTTTTTTAATTTCGTATTTTTGTAACCTACACCACTATAGTGGGGAGGGTATTATGCGTTTGAGCTGATGTTTGTAACACAGAAAAATATTGGTCCTGAACCCGCCTTAAAGTATACCAATCGGATTAGAATCACTGAGCCGATTTAGCTATGTCAGTATGTCCATCTGTCCGTCCGTCTGTCAGTATGTCTGTCCTTCCGTCCGTCCTTCCGTCTGTGTGTCCGTGTAAACTTTGTGCGCACTCTACAGGTCGCAATTTTCCAGATAATTTTATGAAATTTATCACATACTCTTCTTTTGACCCAATGAAGCCTAATGAAAATGGTTAAAATCGGTACATTATTTCTTATAGGAGGTGCCACGCCCCCGAATATTAGTCCGCCCATTTTCCGCCAAAATTTGCACATGGATGTCAAAGTTCTACGTGTAAATTTGGAGGATTCTAGATCGAATAATTTTACAGATATGTATATGTATTTTCACATTTAATTCTCATGCGAGGTGACACGACCCCTAATGCTAATCAACCCACAAATTAATTCACATTAATTTTTATATTCATACATTTTTGTATTTAATTCACATGGAAGGTGCCACGCCCCCGACTATTAGTCCGCCCTTTTTCCCCCGAAATGTGCACATGGATGTTAAAGTTATTCGTGTACATTTGGAGTATTGTAGATCGAATAGTTTCACAGATATATAATTTTTCGTATTTAATTATCATGCGAGATGACACGCCCCCTAATGCAAGTCAACCCAAAAAAATAAACTCACATTAATTTTTATATTCATACATATATAGACAAAATTTTCGAAAGCATGTCCGATAGATTTATTGAAAAATTAGATTGATAGGAGGATGTATACCACATCAAATCCGAAGAAATACAACTAGGCCGCTATCGGGCCTGTTGTGCGCTCCGTTACATAAAAAAATTCACTGAATGTATTATTTTTCAATATTTAGAAACTCAGTTTCCTGGACGTAATTCCTAAGAATTTTTCAATCAGTGTTAGTCAGGAATGTTATTTCTGGAATAATATCACTTCCAAGATACTTAGATCTAAATTCGACGAATGCCTGAAAGTGGCAAAGAAAGCGCTCCAGAGTTTCACTGTCCTCTCCGCATGCTCTATATTCGTCTGACGTCAATTTTGTATAAATGTGCTCGTAATCCTGTGTGTCCACTCAGAATACGTACCATCATTCTAACCTCGGACTTGCTCATTTTGAGCTCTCCTCAGGGTCAGACCATAGGATCTTTGTGATTCTCCCCACAGTTTCATTATTCCAAGACCCTTATGGGATTCTCTCACCCATATTTTTAGTTCAGCTTTTGTTGCATGGTTTTGCGTTTGTCAGGTTAACTACCTAGAGCTTAAATTCGATTCCTAAGATATCGAGATTCCTAAGATATCTGGGGAAATATTTCATATTTTGTTAAAAAAAGAGTTCACTATCTGATTCTAAAAAGTTTTGTAAAATAACAATAAATAATCGGACCTACATATATAAAGCTTATATTCACAAATAGAATTTTACGACAGATTGGATCTGTTATTTATAATCTCACAAGAAAGATGTTAATATAAAAACGTTTGTGAGAAGAGAAAATTAATTTTAAAATCAAATTAGCACAAAAAATTTGAATCCAAATATGGAGCATATGCTCTAACATTTGTGTATATAAAACCTTAATTTTCTAAAGTTGGCAAAGAATTCTTATAATTACACTTTATACTAAATAGTAATTATTTAAAAAAAATCCAGCTATTATAAAACAATATTTCAAAAGTTACTTTCAAATGTAGTTTTAATTACACACACAAATATTTGTGTGTATTTATTTATAATAATAACAATTATAATTTTTTTTGTAGTTACTCTAAATAATGTAATACAATAAATTACATATAATAATTCATTGTTTACAAAAAAAACGAAAAAAATTAAAGTGCATTCTTCATAAATAATTTGCAAAAATAAATTACTATTTTCAAAATGGCGTTTATAATCATATAAACGTAAAAAAGTGTATGTGTAAAAAAATCTATAGAATTGTATATGTAAACCCACCTAAATGTTTTGAACATGTCAAAATAAGCACAACAACTATAGAGAAAGTCTACCAATGAAATTTTACTGTTACACAATGCATTTGTATGCAATTCTTGATTTTTTTTTTCATCTTATAATATAACAACAAAAACAGAAAGAAGCTTCCAGCCAACAACCCCTAAAAACACAATAATAACAACAACGTCTATAAAAATTCCCTAAAGGTAGAAAAGCACACAACATACACTCATAAAAAATGTCCATGCGCAAAATGCATTGGAATGAAAATAACAATTTGTTGGTACCAAATAAAATGTTCTCCCCAAACACACCGCCACACCTATTAAGGAACAAACACACAGCAGAGGCTCTATGGAAAAGTATGAGTATGTGTGTAAGCAAAAACATTAAGCGCCTCTTTACACACCCACCTACAGAAAAAAAAAAACAACTCTCTCTTTCTCTTTCTCATTTATATTAGTATTTTTTCACTTTCTTTTTTGTCAAACCTCACAGGACTATTTTATCTGTAGAAATTTAACCTTTTGGCCTCCCCAAGGAGGTGGTAAAATCATGTGTATGTGTGTATGAGTGTGTGTACTTTTAGGAGACTCCTGTTGTGTAAAATACAAATACCAATGAAAATAACCGAAATAAGTACAACATCCCTCGTTGTATCCTGCCACCCTTATTACTCATATTCTACTGTAAAAACTAAAATACAGAGTTGGGGAGCTGCTTGAAATAGCCCCAACATTTTTTCTTATTTTATCTTATTTTTCCGTTTATATAACAATGAAAAAGGGCGTCACAGAAATTTTTTCCATTAGTTTTTTTTTGCACAATTTATGTATCGTTTTGTGTTATGTACAATATAATATTTTGTTGTTGTCATATTTTTTTCTTCCATACATACATCTCTCGTTTTTGTATACATAGATTTATACATACATATATCCCTGTTTTTTCTGTAATATTACATGGCAAGTGGAGTGTTTTTATAATTTTTTTTGCTTATTATTTTCCATTTTTACATATTTCTTCATTGAACTCAAGTGCACTCAAAACGATCCTGACGTTATTGCAGTCTCGTATTTATTTATAATTTTTTCCAAATTATTTGCTTTTTTTGTATCAACCAAAATTGAATTAAATAAAATTCAATTTCATGTAACGTATTATGATGGAAGTTAAAAGTTGTGCAATTCAAATTGTACTCCTTGTTTAAGGGGATTTCCTTTTTTGTCGTTTATTTTAAATGTAAATTATTACATAAATTTGTTTAATGGTAAATAGTCTGTTTTGATGGATGACTTGAAAGTAATAAGTTGTAAGGATCTTAAATAGTTGAGGTATCTTTGGTAAAGAGGAAATGTTTAATTATTCTTTACGAAACGCCAAGGGAATTGAAACTCAGAAACACTGACCAACTACCTACCTACCTACCTAACTACTACTAACTAACTACTAACTAACTAACTAACTAACTAACTAACTAACTAACTAACTAACTAACTAACTAACTAACTAACTACTAACTAACTACTAACTAACTAACTACTAACTAACTAACTAACTACTAACTAACTACTACTAACTAACTAACTAACTAACTAACTAACTAACTACCTAACTAACTAACTAACTAACTAACTAACTAACTAACTAACTAACTAACTAACTAACTAACTAACTACTAACTAACTAACTAACTAACTAACTAACTAACTACTAACTAACTAACTAACTAACTAACTAACTAACTAACTAACTAACTAACTAACTAACTAACTAACTAACTAACTAACTAACTAAACTAACTAACTAACTAACTAACTAACTAACTAACTAACTAACTAACTAACTAACTAACTAACTAACTAACTAACTAACTAACTAACTAACTAACTAACTAACTAACTACTAACTAACTAACTAACTAACTAACTAACTAACTAACTAACTAACTAACTAACTAACTAACTAACTAACTAACTAACTAACTAACTAACTAACTAACTAACTAACTAACTAACTAACTAACTAACTAACTAACTAACTAACTAACTAACTAACTAACTAACTAACTAACTAACTAACTAACTAACTAACTAACTAACTAACTAACTAACTAACTAACTAACTAACTAACTAACTAACTAACTAACTAACTAACTAACTAACTAACTAACTAACTAACTAACTAACTAACTAACTAACTAACTACTAACTAACTAACTACTAACTAACTAACTAACTACTAACTAACTAACTAACTAACTAACTAACTAACTAACTAACTAACTAACTAACTAACTAACTAACTAACTAACTACTAACTAACTAACTAACTAACTAACTAACTAACTAACTAACTAACTAACTAACTAACTAACTAACTAACTAACTAACTAACTAACTAACTAACTACTAACTAACTAACTAACTAACTAACTAACTAACTAACTAACTACTAACTAACTAACTAACTAACTAACTAACTACTAACTAACTAACTAACTAACTACTAACTAACTAACTAACTAACTAACTAACTAACTAACTACTAACTAACTAACTAACTAACTAACTAACTAACTAACTAACTAACTAACTAACTAACTAACTAACTAACTAACTAACTAACTAACTAACTAACTAACTAACTAACTAACTACTAACTAACTACTAACTAACTAACTAACTAACTAACTAACTAACTAACTAACTAACTAACTAACTAACTAACTAACTAACTAACTAACTAACTAACTAACTAACTAACTAACTAACTAACTAACTAACTAACTAACTAACTAACTACTAACTAACTAACTAACTAACTAACTAACTAACTAACTAACTAACTAACTAACTACTAACTAACTACTACTAACTAACTAACTAACTAACTAACTAACTAACTAACTAACTAACTACCTACAACTAACTAACTAACTAACTAACTAACTAACTAACTAACTAACTACTAACTAACTACTAACTACTAACTAACTACTAACTAACTAACTAACTAACTAACTACACTAACTAACTAACTAACTAACTACTAACTAACTAACTAACTAACTACTAACTAACTAACTAACTAACTAACACTACTAACTAACTAACTAACTACTAACTAACTAACTAAACTAACTAACTAACTAACTAACTAACTAACTAACTAACTACTACTAACTCTACTACTAACTAACTAACTAACTAACTTTCCCTATTTTGTGGGTTTGCATAGATCTAGACTGAAACCAAATTTATATATATGCTCTTTGCTGATTTGAATTAACCTTTTCGTTAAAATATTAGTTAATTATTTAATTTTATTTTTAGTTATTTACTTAATAAATTCTTTAAATTAATTACATAGCTTTATATCATTTTACACAATGTTTTTTAATTATGATATATATTAACAATTTCCTTTGATTTCTGTCATTTTAGGAGACTTCTCCGCTGAGTGCTCATCAACAGCGTTCTCTCGCTTCGGTGACTAGCAGTGCTGGAGGAACAGCAGCTCTTGCTGCCGTCACCTCCAGCACAACAGCAGACTCAGCGCTTGCAGTCGCCACCAATCACAACAACAACAGCAGCAGCGGCAACAACAACGCCAGCAACAACAGCAGTAATAGCAGCTCCAACAACATCAACAGCGGCAGTAACGCTAACCCCCACAGCACCAGTAACGGTCTCACGAACTCCTTCACCAGCATTAACAGCCACTTAGGCGGTACCTCTGGGGGAGGTCCCGGTGTAATAGGCAGCAGCTCTAATTATGAATCTTCCATAGCCACCTCTGCACCTTCAAATATCAATAATTATTATGAAAGTTTGCGCAATAATGTTATAACTTTACTCGAACATGTACGCATACCACCAAGTGGTCATAATTCGGTAAGTTCGGTAGGTAATAGCTTATCTACAGCTTCATCGGTATCAGCTGCTGCCAATCAACACACTGCCTATGCCACACATCCCTCACTAATACCACCGGGTCCTTTAACTACCACCTCAATAGCTGCTAGTTCTGCAGTACCCATGTACGGTAGTTCTATGCATCCTTTATCTTCGGTCCATACCAGCGGTATGCATCCACCGCCACCACCTCCTCCACCACCGCCTCACAGTTCGTCAGCTCATCATCCCTATACAGTACATCATCCGGCTAGTTATCCTCATCATGAACCATTCGATTCTTATATTTCGAAATTGCAATCGTTGTGTGTACCGCCGGATGTTTATGCTTTACCCGATGATGGTTCACGTCCAGTATACGATACGGTTAAGTCAAGTTTACATCAGGATTATACAGTGATGCCAACGCCAATATAAATATTTAGAAACTAAAATGTTCATATAGATATAGGGACATTGTATGGATATTTCTATTGTTTTGTTAAAATGAGAGCTTTCGGAGGGGATTATTCAATGATTTTACTATAATCGTTCAAAGAGTCCAGTATGCATAGATTATAGATTTCGATCTGTGAATCATAATCACAGTTGATCGAATCAAATTTGCTATTGCAATCGGAACTTACTACGATCGATCGTTTCGAATTATTATTCGTCTATATTGTTATAATTTGTTAAATATTAAATTTTTTATTTCAGATTTAATTTTTTGAATACCAAAGTTACTTTCTAAATACTTCGATGATCTTGGAATACAAAGATTTTAGAGACTGATCTAGTCAAATTCTAAACGTTATATTTCTCTCTCGTGCTCATTCTCTTTTTAGCAAAATTCTGTGTGATTTTTAATGATTTAAAAAAAACAAAATATGACTTATGTATTTAGTTAAAATTATCTGTAAATAATCAAAATTGAAAAGGAACTTTAAGTCCTGGCAGTATTTATAAAAAAAATTAATAAAATATTAAATGTATATAGCAGAATATTAGTAAATTTTCAAAAACCAAAAACTTATAAAGTGTTTAAGTATTTCATTAATAAAACAATTATAATTAAAAAAAAAAATAAAAAATAAATTGTATATAAAACCATCATAAAAATCCATGTAAATTATGCTCAATATTTTATGACATTAAATATAAATAATTTAAAAAAATAGCAACTAAAAATACGAGTATTTAAAACAAGATGTGATTTTTTTTAGTATTCAATAGTTATTAATTGTATAATCATATTAAAATAAATATTAAATATAAACAAAAGAAAAGCTGTTTACTAAGTTCTATTAAAAAAAAATAAAATATAAATAAGCTTGAAATATTTTAAATAAAAACAAAAAAAAAAATTATTAACAGCCACTATACGATTAATTTAAATTTAAAAACTCCCCAAAAATAATAATCAAATATTTATTAGTTTTACTAAAAACCAAAAAAAAAAACCTAAAAGAAAAACAGAAAATAAAATATAAAATTTTAAATATTATTATAAGTTTAAGTGCAATATTATGAATAATTAGCCATATTTTATTAACTAAACATGTAAATAATGTTAGAGTCCTTGGCTGACTCTTAAAAAATCTAATTGCTAATAAATATTTCAAATTAACTAAATGTTATATATGAAAGAAAAACAAAAAAAAAAACATAAACGAAACAATGCAAAAATAACACAAAATGAAAATAATTAGTAAATAAATATTAAAAAAATAAAAATTTTGTTGTTTTACATTTTTTTGACATACTAGAGAAAGTAATTGAATATCCTTTTAAAATTTAATTTTATAAGCAAAATCCTTAAACACGTCAAAATTTAATTTTCACTCAAATAAAAATGTTTAAAGAAAAATTCTAAAATTTGCCTTAGAAGCTTGAAAAAAAATTTATATTAAAATTAACTAAGGGTTATATGGGGCAGGGGGTTAACATTTGCCTATCCCCATAAATTTTGGTCCACGTCTACATTAAAGTTATTTATTCAGGACATTATAGTGATATGCGTGAATTTTGACTATTAAGTAATTTTCTGAAGAGGACTTTGTATGGGGGATATAGTCAAATGAGGCCCGATCATTGCGAAAATCAGCAGTTTCATTAAGAATTATATAAAACTAAGTTTTGGCAACTTTTGGAGAGAACATTTATTTATGAGCTCAAAAGCCCTATTCGGGAGATACTGTTGTATTTGGGCTATGCGTAAAAATGGATCGATTTTAACCATTTTCAATACGCTTATTCCTTGGGTCATAAGAAGAGTATGTGCCAAATATCATCAAATTAACTTAATTATTATAATTACAATTATATAATTTCAACTTGTAGCGTACGAACAAGATTTACATGGACACACAGACGGACATATAGACAGACAGACGGACATAGCTAAATTGACTCAGGTAGTGATTCAGGTAGTGTAGAGCAAAATTTCTCAAATGGCATGACTGATATAAGCTTATTCTGACCTATTTCAGGTGGCCCAATATCTTCTTACTTATTATCTTATTACTTATCCCTCTTTTAGGGATATTATAGCCAAAAAAAAAAAACTAAAAATATCAATTTTAAAGATTTCTCAAAACTTTTGTGTGTATTAAGGGATTTCAAAATTTCTTTTAGTTTTACATTGGAAATTAAAAAATCTGAAAAACTGAAAAATTTCGTTCAAAAATATTCATAGATAGAAATCTTATTTAAATTTTAAAGTCATTGTCTTCGCAAAAATTCAATATAAAGAAATTTTGTCACTTTTTACAAAAGTTTTCCTCGAATTTTTAATGGACTTAATTTCAAATTTGTTGATAGACAAAACGTCTACTTTATCCTTTTCACATGTAAAATTAAGAAGGAAATATTTAACATCTCATGATACTTCGTTTTTTTTTCATCATTATATTGGTCACGTGACGTATACGTATTATTTAATTTTATTATAGGATTTTTTCCTCATTTTTATACCCATCATCAAAAAAGATGGGGGATATATTGTTATTGTTGTCATTCCGTTTGTAACACATTGAAATATTCGTCAAGGACCCATAAAAGTATATATTCTGGGTCCTTATTCGATTCTAAGACGATCTAGCCATATCCGTCCGTCTTTCCGTCTGTCTGTTGAAAACACGATAAAGTCCAAATGGAAGTAGCTAGCGAAATTTTGCACAGATACTTTTAGTTGATGCAGTTTATTTGGTATTGAAAATGGGCAATATCGGTCCACGATTTCGCCTAGCCCCCATATAAGTCTCCCTTTAGAAAATGACTTTATCGCTCATAACTGGATAAGAGAAGCATCTATAACGTCAATATTCGTCGCAAATGTGTTTTGTGGGAAGCCAAATCTCTATGTAAAATTACATAGGGATAGGCCCTTATAAAGTCCCCTTCAAAAAATTACTTTAACGATCATAACTGTCTAAAAGAAACATCTATAGCAATTAAATTCAACAGGAACATATTTTATAGGAACTTAAATCTCTTCGTAAAATTGTAAAAGGATCGGTCTATAATCGACCCTAATTTTTTTTTCTTAAATTTTATGAGGATGTGTCCATAATTGACCCCTTCCCTTCAGAAAATGACTTTAACGCACATTACTGACTCAAAAATGCGAAAGCGGTGAAATTATACATAAACAAGTTTTGTGCGAGACAAAAGCTCTATATAAAACTAAGGATCGGTCCTTAAATGACTTTAGCGCTCACTACTAGCTTAAAACTGCGAGTAGAGCGATAAAATTCGACATAAATAAGTTTCGTATGGGCCAAAACCACTCTACTAAATTTTATGAGGATCACGGAATAATTGGCCCTACTATATAAGATCCCATTTAGAAAATGACTTTAACGCACATTACTGGGAACTGGAAACTGAACCGACTACCGACTTCGATGAAGACGAATCGAAAATTACTTTAACACTCATTGGTTTTCTTAAAATTACGAATTAGGCGATGAAATTCGAAGAAGTAACTTCTTTACGAAACATAATTTATGTACAAAAGTTTATGAAGATCTGTCTATAATTGACCCTTATATAAGATTCACTCCTAAAAATGACTTTAACGGTAGTTTTATAGGAGTTGAAATTTATCAACTGAATTTGATAAGGATCGGTCGATAAATAATCCAACCCCCGTTATCGGTTTCCTTCAGAAAATTACACGATCCATGCCCTTATTAAAGACCCTCTTCCAAATATTACCCTGATGTTCATATTAATATCTACATATGACGATAAACTTCAACATAGATCTAATAAATGTGAAAATTGCTTCGATAATATCAAAGTTTATTAATAAGGACGATTTGATGGTGGGTATATAAGATTCGGCATGGCCGAATATAACACTCTCACTTGTTATTTCTATACCACTGTGCCCAGTATTTTTGTTGATTACAAACGCAATTAGCAAAAATTAAAATTTGTCCTTTTAACATACATACTATTATTCCAAAATAGTAAAAAGGGTGAGTTTCCCAAAAAATAAAGGTTACATTAAATTTACACATTTCGTCTTAAACGCCATAAATCTTTAATGTACACATACATACATAAATATGAGGATGTGTAAAAAGGAAATGTTTTATTTCGAAATCAAAAAAGGGGGTTAACTTAAAACAAAATTAAACTGATTTGAATATTTGGTAGTAAAAAAATCAATGTTTATGTTTGTTGTCCTTTCAAAACAATTTTAGAAATTCTAATAAAATTCCTATAATTTACACTAAATGTTCAAACAGTTTTCTTAGCCTTGTGCTGCCCATTTTCAATATGGAAACATGTTCCAACCACATTAAAGGTAACTATACAAATATTTGTGGCAACAAAACAAACAATATACAATTCTTTGACCCATAACCACTGCTATAGTTATTAAACCCGGCTAAAACTATCCATATTCTAGTAGTGATGAGGAATGCTGTGATAAAACCATTGAAATGATAAGGATGCTACTTTTTGATGGCTGTTGATATGGTAACCGCATATAAACTATAGTAAAATGTTTGTGTGTTTTACTGAGTTTTTTTGAATATTAAAAATACTTGGTTTTAGTGGCCGAATGGTCAGTTTGTTGTCTCGGTTAGTACGAGTATGATTTAATTGCTTTTGAGTAAACGTTTTCTAAGTATTTGTTACCAGCATTATAGTTTTTATTTCTAAGCAATTATCTTTCAACAAAAACTCCATAAGAGTATCTGTTTTTTAATGCTCAAAAATGCAATTGTATGTGTTTGGCATAATAATAGTTTTTACTAAAGGACAATTTTTGGAATGTTTAATGAAGCCACAATAAATCAAGTTAAGTACCACTAGTAAAATGATAGTGTTTAATTTTTATATACTCCACAACCCTTTAGATGAACTGTATTTTAGGTTAGAATATTATTTCAGTTAAGGAAATTTGTAAAAATAACACTGTGATACAAAAGTGAAGAAAAATAAAATGCAGGCGTTCTCATATACCAATTCTATTTCGTTATAGTCCATAGAGTACGAATATATTTTTAGTTTTCCCCTATCACTTCGTTAACTTACTTTTTAAGAGCAAAAGATGCGAAAAAGAGACATTTTTGAAGTTTTAAATTTGAAAAATCATAAGTTTAGTAGTTTTCATCCGATTTTCAAATCCGATATTTTTTTAATGATACAAGTGTTGCCTTTTAATCCAAAAAAGAAATCCAAAATTTATGGTCAAATGTCTGAGTTACGGTCGTTTAAGTAAAAAAACTCACACTTTTTTAAAAAAATTTCATTTTCATCATGCTCTACTTTGACCATGAGGCAGTGAGTTCATCTTTTATTACTTTCCTGAAGAATCACATAAAGGAAGGTTTCTAAAACTTGCTATTTTATAAAAATCTATGAAAAACTGAATGATTTATGCCAATTTTTCTAATAGCATGTTCCTCGAATTTTTGGTTTTCTCCATACAAATTAATTTTTGTATAAAAATGTTTATAAACAAAACTTGTTACAAAGAAAACCAGAAACATGAACGTTTTTGTATGGAAGAAATATGCTATATTTTTATAAAACT